GGGTGAGGGAGGGAATGAGGGAGATAGACATAATGATAGAAAGAGAGCGAGAGATGAAGAGGAGGGAGGAAAATATAGATAGGGAGAGAGGTGGAGAAGAGGGAAGGGGGGAGAGAGAGAAAGAGAGGGAGGGGGAGGAGGAAGAGAGCGAGAGAGTGAGAGGGAGAGGGATAGAGGGCGAGAGAGAAAGGAGAGGAGAGGGGAAGGGAGGGGAGGAGAGAGAGGGAGAGAGTCATCAGTTGCTGTTCACGTCTGGCCGTCCCTTAAAAATGACTCGCGGGAATTCTATGCAACAAACTTTACCCAAGAATCAATTTACACGGCGGGCATTTGCAACAGGGGGAATGCCAGCAAGCGAGTCATATGTCGCGTTCGATGACAGCCTCTAGGTTGTTGCACAGCGCGGGTCGGCGGTAGCATTCGTATTTCGCTATTCATCGTGTGCAATCTTGCGAACTCTTCCCTGGCTCATGAGACCCGCAGCGAAGACTTGCTCTGCGTGAACGGACGCGTAGGCACCGACCATATGCATGGAAAGCTCCTACGCGAACACATAAAAAAGTAACTGAAGGATTTTTTTTTTTTTTTTTTTTTTTTTTTTTGTGGGAGTCCTTTCAGTAGGGTTTGTCTATACTTTTTTTCTATTTGTGGGTGGTAATTTGTGAGAGGAAAATTATATATTTTGTTATTTTTTCGCAAAATTTCAAGAACAGATGTAATGCAAGAAAAAGATAGAAACTAAAAGAATGGTAAATGTATGTATTTCTGGCATATAAATTAGTGATCCTGCATTGAAGTGATTATAATTTGCAAGCCAACTATTATGCATTTTAGCACGGAAAATTATGCCTGGTAAAGTTTTGTGTTCCACGGTTTTATATGCTACTTGTATGTTACATATCCTCACATATGACATCCAAATACATTTTTTGTGCAGATACACGCGCGCGCACACACACACACACACACACACACACACACACACACACAAAGTATGTATGTATGTATATACCGAACCGATATACTTGTGTTTTATATTGCACTGGACCAGTGAAAGTTTTTTCAAATGAATATCATGAAGTATGATATTTACTTTCAACAAGTGAATTATGTTCATTTCTATATATAATGAATACCTCTATGTTCTCCAGAAAATATTCATATTCATGATTTAAAGCTAGATCCAATCACAGAGGAGTGAAAACAATGAAATAAATTCATTTACATATCACCTACCTACTGACGTTCTAGAAGAAAAGTTGATACCAGCTTTAATCGGGTAGAATCACAAAGATTTAAACAATAAGGAAAATGTCACCCAAAACTTGGTGTGTGTATGTGACCGTGTTACTCGGGTTAAAATTATTGTTTCTTAACCTCCGCTTGCTTTACGAGTATATATTGCAAACATGGCCAAGTTTATGGCAAGCTCTATTCCAGGAATAAGCCACCAAAGCTATACAAACTAATCACATTATAGGTTTTTTTCAATCAATCAATCCCGAAACCCCTAACACTTTAATTCATTGTTTGATGTTGCCTCGCGGTCGCTACTAGAAACGTTGTCATCGAAGTTTGTAGTAACAGAAAAAAAATGAAATCTGTTTATTTTGATTTGATAAACACATCATTGAAGTGCTGAATGTGCTAGTACGATCTTTAATTACATGCTTCAAAAAAATGGAAAATTACCTGACTACTGCAATTCATTTTGCTTATATACCATTCTTCGCTTTTCAAGAAAGTGGAAATTTTGAATAAATTTCTCAGATTCAAATCAAACTTATTAGTATCATTATTATCACATACTTTGTTCTTCATATGAGTATAATTTACTTGATGTTTTGTATTTCAATGGTTACATAGTGTCTGAATCTCAGACAAATGGATAATTCCATTCATCACAATTATCTCAGTGCTTGTAATATAGAAACAAATCAAGATTGATCGATAGGCGGCAACAGAAATGATTTTTGAAACTAGTCGTCATAGCGAGAAAT